GCATCCTACAGCTGAAATAATAATTTCATAGGGTATAGGAGGAACAATGCAAGCAACTGCGTTTAAAAGCAACTAATCAGCCTTCCCTCGCCGAAACAAAAGCTACTGGAAAACTGGAAATTTTTTATAAACACTCCATCATTAAGCTGAGATTGGGTAACTTACATGAAATGACTTGTGAAATACTATTTTAATTTCTTCATTCATTCTTTTGCAGAGTAGCACATGAGTATATAGCCTAATGATAATGAAGATGGTCTCTTGCAGATGAAAACAATAGAGAACAATTGTGTATGACATAACAGTATCGAGAAAAGAGCTTTCTAGCCAACTGAAATTAGAATAATAGCCTTTATATCATCATTCTCTCACGAATACACAACTGGTCTTTCTGGTTTTTCTTTTTTTCCTCTTACTCGCCCTATCACACACAACAAACGTTTCGGAAGTCTGATCAGCAGAACATCCAATGTGGATTGAACTAATTATGCTGACAAAATGATATGATTCATGCGTATAAAGTGATAAGAGAAAATCGGGATCGGGACTAAAATCCTGTCTCGATCCCGAAAATTAGTTTTTTGAACCCCGATTCCGGTCCCAGTCCTAGTCCCGTCGGGATCGCGGCAGTCCTGTAGGACTCTACTTTGTGTTTTATCCTTATCCGTCTTAATCAACCAATCAACTAATACCCAATATCAAAAGAAATTTCTCTAAAGTTCGAAAGTAATGCATCCTCTCCCTCCTATGGTTGTGTGTCCTAAATGTGTGTGTCCCTAATCCAAACTGATCTTTATCAGAATTATATCGAATTTTTCCAACATATTCATTTTCACTTACATTCCAATATTTTATCATTTTATAATTTGACATTTCAAATTGCTCTATTCTTGATCCCCAATGATCATAACTAATTAGTAACATTTGTGGTGTTGTTGTACAACTCCAATACTGCATGTATGGTGCACTACCAGATCGAATAGGCTTCTTTTCAATCCGATTATTGTTTTCATTGTAGGCATAAACAGAATTCGATGTGATCATAACATATTGATTTAAATCATGTGAATAACATATATCATTTATTCGTCCAAAATTCCATCCTATTGTTTTTTCATGACCATTCTGATTGTATTGGTTTAATGCATTTTGACTAATTGCATAATGTACAAATGATTTAGCTGATGCACCAAGTTGGATTCCACCGAATCCATGAACAATATTGACAATTCTACTTGGTTTCATTATTTTTAAGCTGTTAAAACTAAATTTTTTTATTTTAATCATTGATGACCAGTCAATTTCATTATTTGGAATAATATTAAGTTCAATGGTTTGCGTTGTTGTTAGTAACTGTTGTTTCAGTTTATTTAATTGTTCTGTCCAACTATCTAAATCTTGTTCTACATAATTATCTTCGCTTTGACTATGTGTTATTTCGTTTGCAACTAATCGAAAATCTTTTTTCACTTTATCGGTTGTTTCATTCATTAACTGTGTTACTTGTTGTTGAGCTAACTCAGCTGCATCTTCTATTCTTTTTATTGTTTCGTATTTCCATTGTTCAATTATTTTCAAAAGATCCGATTGTTTTATGTTATTCTCTTGCATCGACGAAGATGATGTTGGATAAAGTAACTCTTGCAAGAGATTGTGTTGGTGAACAATTTTATCTAATTGTTGGGCTAATTGTTGACGGTGTTGTTGAAAATGACTTGTTGAATATATTGTTTCGCAACCTTTACATATCATTATACCTCTTGCACATTCTTTACAATGAATATTTCCATATTTTGATGCCATTGATAGATGTGTCTTTGTGTCTATATGGAAATGAACATAAACGATTAGATTTTAACAGTTGACAAGAAACACTGACTAAACTCGGACGCATTCATGCACCCATTCCTTCAGATAATGCCGATGATTTTCCAAGAAAAAACCTAACTGTCTGAGAACCGGTACAGTTTAGTTGACCAGATACCTGAATCCTCAGTCTTTATTGGAGTTATTGTGTGCACGTTTGTTTGTTTTTATTCCTAGGGATTGAAAAGAATCTTTAAAGTCTGACAGTGGATGCCGTAAGACGTCAAGTTAAAGTTTTTCGCGGAACACGCAAACTTCGCGGCCGCGGCATAATCGCGGCAAGAATAGAGCGCGAATGCAACCAGGGATTATACTCATTTTCGGATTCCTCATAGTCGATTACCTATACCCTAGAATTTTCATAAATTTATTAGTAGATGCACTATAACGTCAGGGCAAAGACCATCCTTGTCTACATCTAATGTAAACCGATATCAACGAACTAAAAATTAAGTATACACTAAGTTGTTATATTGGTAAGTCTATGTCAAGAGAAAAGTTGCTCATTAGAGCCAACTGCGCGTAATAACGTTGTTTTTTTACGGATATTGGTCGTAGTTTCTAAGTTGTTGGCTCAACAATAAGCCTTGGGTTAAGATATAGAAAGAAGAAGATTTTCTCATTTTCGGACAAGAAAGTAGTGGTAGTTTGTCCATCTATATTTTATGATACTACAATACAGCCACTATCGGTATATAGTATATGAAAGATCAGACTTCCAGATTTTCTTGTGGATAGTTTTTTCGAATAAACAGTGCCCCGTTTTTGAGAATCACGTTAGTGTTTTCTCTAGTAAAGAAGTTTTGTACTCGACCCTCGATCTAACTCTATCAGTTTTCATTATTTTATACTCAAAATTTACCTAGAGCGGAGTCAGTTTAACACATGTAGTAGAGTAAGCGTCAAGAGTATTTGTAATCTTACTTAACTCGACATTCTATATGAACGTAGTAGATTTGTATTAGAAATGTGCAACCTGATCCGTACCCATACCCGACCCGACGCGAAGGTCGGGTACGGATACGAAGTTGTCGGGTACGGGAGCATAACATACTCGTACACACATAGTACATCGAGTATGGGTGCATAATATTGGAATCCAGGTGCCTTCGTAAGGCATTGTGGCTCGCCTTTTACGTGGAAATTCCATACCAATCAAAAATACACCTCTTTTTTCACAGTGTACCTATGTCGCCACGCCAAAAAAATGCAAAATCATAAGTGGCGTAACGCAAAAAATTGATTACGCAAACGAAATTATTGCGAAATTCGGCATCTTCTACAACAAAATGTCTACAAAATTATTAATTACTACAGAATTTCGTTGGTATTTTGCAATAAAAGTTGCAGAATTTTGCAATAATTTTGCTTGTGTAATCATTAATAATTCTAAGTCTATTTTATTCAATTTTCATCCAATCTAGTCAAAAATAGGTTTCTGACCATTAGAATGCGTTCTAGAGGTCGCTTATATTCATTTTCGGATTCCTCATAGTCGATTACCTATACCCTAGAATTTTCATAAATTTATTAGTAGATATTAGTAGCACTATAACGTCAGGGCAAAGACCATCCTTGTCTACATCTAATGTAAACCGATATCAACGAACTAAAAATTAAGTATACACTAAGTTGTTATAAAGCGGTTATTTACGGTTACGGTTAACTGTTCGAACAGTTATGGGTTGCATGCTTAATATAGATCCATATCATTCAACATTTACACAGTTATATACTTTTATCAACTGTAATTCATATTTTTGTGTTTGGTGTAATTCATAATATGTAAATATTTTTTTCTGCATTATTGAAGGTGTAATATTTTCATTTTTCTTACCTTTTAGAGATAATATATGATGAAAAATAGAATGATGAAGTAAAAAGAAGAAACTATTATATATTCTAGAATAACTAATCGTTGTTATGTGTATCGTGTGTATGAGAATGAGAAAATCTTCTTCTAGAAATCAAATAAATATTCTCGTCATAAATATAATTTTAGTTTTTTCTTTTAAAAAAGACGAAGAAAATATGGTAAATCTTTTCTTAAATTAAATTTTTCCTTTAAAAAGAAAAAACTAAAATTATGTTTATGACGAGAATATTTATTTGATTTCTGTACTGCAAAAGTAATATTTGCGATTTTTCGTACTCCGTACGATGAATGAGATCTATAGATGTCTCTATTTTCTGATCGACATGGAAGAGTTGAAACTTCCTTAAAGCAGGTAGCAAGCAAGTTCATTCTAATAGAGAACGATTCTCGTAAGTGATTTTCACATACAAGCCCAAGCACAATTATACATGAAATGTGATGAGTTCTAATCAGTGTCGTAATAACACCAGGCAGGGTACTTTGCTGTAAAATTGATATGTAAACAAAAAGTTCCGTGAGTAAAGCTTTTGGAATGAGACGATGTAAAAAAAATGTTCCAACATCGCATGACGTATCGTCATTTTTTACGATCACTCTAAATTATAAAGAAAAGGAAAATAAAGTTACAATAGTAACCGAAATGACATCAACTTATTAGGGTTTATTTTTGCTGTGATTCAACGTGAGAGTTTTAGTGTTTGCATTCTTCTATATTGATCTCGGTTGTTTTCAGTTTGAATGACACAAAAGGATTGTTAAGCTACAGAAAGAAAAACGAAAAATGAATTTAGGGCTTTTCTTGTAAACTCTATAACTTTGCAAAGAAAGATCGTGTAGAGCTGGGAGATGCCTC